TACTGCAGAAAAAAGCAGCAGCCAGTGCCAGTGCACTGGGTGGCAGTTTAAGTTTGTGAGTAGTTGCTTAGCACCTGTAAAAGGAAGAGTCATTGCAAGCTTAATACTGTAGGAGTATCAGCAGCTATGGTGGTTCCACTAGCTGACACTGCAGCTCCTTTAATCCTCAAAAAGAGCTTTCTCACCTTTTCCTCCTCCTGGTCAGTGGCATCAGCACAGATTTGTCACCCACAGGTTGTGTCCTGGGAATTTAGGGCCCTCAGATGTTGTGTTGTGCCTGCAGATGAGGGGCAAGCCCCTTACAGCCTCCTCTGCTGAAGAAAGAGTTTCTGAGCAGCGCTGAAGTTAGACATGTAAGGCAGTTTTTGTTTTGTTCACTTTCATTTCCTAGATTCAATGTTGGAGGGGTTCATATGTTACTTTCTCTGGCTGTTTATGGCCTATGAGTTGTAGCCCCTTTTGCCTTTAATTATTCCTCTTCTTAGACTCAAATTTAACCTTGAGAAACCAGGTACTCTTTTATTTTGAACACTTTGCCAGTTATGCTCTCAAGTCTGTGACTTCTGGAACCATGCAGCCCCTTATTGTATGGCAGAAATCCCATTATCTTATGTACCTGCTCATTCTCAGAGCTCCAAAAAGAACCTCTAGGTTAGTGAGGTTTGTCTGAGAAAATGGCTTTATGTGTGTATGTAAAGCTACTCGACCATGACTGCGCCAGTTGTGGTGCTCTTTTACCTGCTGGTAATCCCGTACTGACTGGGCCAATTGTCAAGCTAAGACTCGGTCTGGAGCCCACAGACCCCTCAAGCCCGTTCACAGACTGGGTCACAAACCCTTCACATGCCTGGCTGGGTCCCCAGACCCCTTACATGCAGGTCTATGAGCTAGGTAACCGGCCAAAAGGTGCTTGGAAGCTGTAGGTTTGGAAAAGTATGGCTGCGTAGGGCAGACGCCTGAGGCCGACACCTGTGGACCTGCTTCACTCAAAATACTCTCTCTCTCTCTCTCTCCCCCTCCCTCCATCCCTCCCTCCCTCCGTCCCTCTCCCCTCTCTCTCTCCCTCTCCTCTCTCTCTCTCTCTCCCTCTCCCTTAAAATACTCTCTCTTCACTCAAAATTCTCTCTCTCTCCTCTCTCCCTCCTCTCTCGCTCTCTCCACAAGAATAGCAACAAAACTAAAGATACATTGGCACACATGTGCACTAACTACACACACACACACACACACTTGCTTACATGTGCACTAACTACACACACACACACTTGCTTACATGTGCACTAACTACACACGCACAGGCACACGCACACACACGCTTACAAGGGATGCTGAACCACACCCAACTGGACCTGAGGGCCCTGACCAAACTATTCTATTTTCCCAACAGTATACAAAAAATTTTTAGTGTGAGTAAATTCCTGTTGGAAACAAATGCTAACTAGTTGCATAACAGATCTATCAGAGAGCAGGCTGAGCCTCCATGGGATTTTCAGTGGCCCCTTTTCGTTTCTTTCAGCAACAATCAATTGAACACTTGCCTTGTGCAGAACCCTGGGCTAGGTATGAAGGGGGAGAGCAGGCAGAGCCATGAGCCAAACCGATGGGGGTCCTCCCTTTGTGGATCCATCTACAGCCCTGACTCATGCATACTGTGAGGACTGGCAGATTAGCGTCCCCACTGTGTGTCTTGCATTGTTAGATGCAGCGGTCTCTCTTGCTTTTTCCCCCACAGCTCCCATAGAAAAGTGCCGTCATCCCTTTTCAACTTTGCAAAGCAAAAGGAAAGTAGAATTGTCTTTTTTCTTTATACTGTTTTGTCAGTGGAGACTTTATTTTTATTCTAACAGGATCCACAAAGGATATAAGGCAATCCAGAGACAATACATATTTGTTTCCCATTGATTTCTAAAATAAAATCTGTGGGCATCTCTCAGTTGGGGAACATCCCCAGTGCCATTCTGCCATAAATTTAAGCTTAACATGGAAAAATACAGTTGGACTGAGAGAAGCTGTTGGCTGGGTTTCCAGAGACTATGAAACAATCCCTGATCCCTCACATCAGTTGCACCACATAACTTTCATCTCATCCCTGCATAGTAATAAATTGAAAGGAGATATTGCTGGTTTACATGTCTGTCTCTTCCATAGAGGCAACAGAGGGGATAAAGTGAAGGAAGTTTTCTCCATTCAAATGGCTTGTGTGCTTTTCTATACCATGTAATACTGCAGGTAAGATTGGAAGGTTATACTTGAAAGTGTCCAAGTTTTTTGGATTGAGTTCTTAGCTACTGTCTGGACTCTGTCCTCCTTCTCAGATGGGGGAAGCAGAATTCCTTCATTAGTAGGGCACTGAGCTCAGGTAGACCTGAGATGGTCTCCCAGCCCAGCCACTTACAAGCCATGTGACCTTGGGCAAGTTATATAACATCTCTGAGCCTGTTTCCTCATCTGTGAATGGGGTTAAAAGCAATTACCTTATTGGTAGGATTAAATGAGGCAATGTATGTAATGCCCCTGGCTTTAATAGAGACTTACTAATGATAGCTTCTTAATAAATATTAAAACAATCCCAGAAGCCTCTACCATGTATGTATCCAGGGTGACTTGCCTCCTGTGTTGCCTCTTTTATATTTTATCTGTTGTCCAAGAGGAACTATTGAGGTACACAGTAGATGCTCAATAAATGTCTGTTGAATGAATGAGAGCCTTGGTACTTTCTCTGTCCTTTTGTTACCAACAAGCCAGGCTTGGCTTGCACTCCTGCATTAAACAAATGACCTGAAAGTCCAAAAGTTGATGCAAGGATTAGAAGATTTATTCGGATTACCAGTACTCAACTAAATGTCTAACCAAGCAAACAAACAAAGAGAAAAGAGGAGAAGTGGGGTCCAGTTTAGCCTAGTCCCAATCGGCAGGGCCAACCTATTCCATTAACAGTAATTGGTAAAAGCAGTTCTCCCCACTGTTTTCAGCATAAGGAAGAAAAGTATCGACTAGATTTAAATCAGAAAAACAAAGCATAGCCAGGAGCCCTCCAGGGTTCACCTACACAGAAGTGGATACAATCCAACCAAACAGCAGAAGAGGGGTCAGAAAATCAGAGAAAGGTAAAGAGAATAAAGCATTGCCTTGTCAGAATTTAGGCCAGGTACTGTAGGAGAGATCTAGCAGCAACAGAGACATGGGAGCAAAATAGTCCCAGTGACCACTTGCCTCTTGCAGCTAGAGTTGTCTCTGGTGCCAAAAGCTTTCCAATTTTTGCCAGTGATTAAATTAGGTTCTCGGATTCCAAAGTCATGGAAATGAACAATGTACCCAACAGTAAAGCAAGCAATGCTTTATTAAAGAGGAGATATACTTATGCAAAAGGGGGGTAACAACAGTAAAGCTAGCCCCCCAGGGGAGCTGTTCAGGGTCTTTTTTTATAGGGAAAGTACTGATCAAGTTTCTTATAGAAGGAGATCTTTATTATTTGGATTCAGATCAAAGTAGAAGCTACAAAAATCAGTTTAAAACAAGACTGGTTTAAATGAATTTCCTCTCAGATAATCATCACTGAAACTCACTTTGAGCAAATGGTATAGCCACCCAGGCAAAGCACTGTGATCACTGGGTGTAAAGGAATGAGACCAATGAGGGTCAAGTTCTTTTTAAAGTAGTGAACTCCTCATAAAGTCAATAAAAATGATTCCAAGTGATTTAATGTTTCATATATTCATATGCAACTTTTTGTTTATAATGAGCACCATTACCAGAACCCCCCCGCTGCGTCGTAGGCGCATGCTCAGTAGGTCCAAGATGGCAGTAGTATTCATCATTGTCACCCCAGGAGGGTCATCATAGCAGCTTTGTGCGCAGGTGGGAATTCCTAAAGGGGTCTTAAGCTTAATCTATAACTTTTATTATTATGGTAAAACAAGCTTTGGGGAGGGGTTTTGCAACTCAGTAAGTATCTGTTTCCTCCCTTATCTCAGTCCGTTTTGTCAGGGCAGCCCAAGGGGTAATCATTTGCCCTGCTGGTCTCCTGACTCAGGAGTGGAAAAATAATAAAGTGTCCTCTGCAGGGAAAATGGAGTCAGTTTGGTTCACAGGTCTAGCCTTATTCTGTTTCACTTTTGCCTTAGAACAGAATTTCATACTGAGTTTTGCATTGGGAGATGTCCTAAGAGATGCTTTGAAAAAAGTGACCAGATGGATTTGGGGAATGCTGTAGTGTCTGCAGTGTGTAGATTCTAGCCCTCTCCGGAGATGAATAATGTATATCACTGTTCTAGTAGCTCAGAAAGGTTGTGAAGAAAACCCTACCTAGCTTTTTAAACTTGGATTTTCAAAGCTCATTTGACTGTATAGGGTGATAGTAGTACCTCCTTGAGGCTGAGATGAGGCATTAATGAGTTAATACGTGCAAAAATTTAGAACAGTGCTGGGCAGAGTGAGCACCACAAAGGACCTGCTGTAACTATGACTATTAAGTGCTTTTTAATCTTCCAGAGTATTTAACCATTCCCTTTTTTTTTTTTTTGTGACCGGTAAGGTGATCGTAACCCTTCGCTTGGTGTCTCCCGCACTGCGCTCAGCCATTGAGCGCACTGGCCATCCCTATATAGGATCTGAACCCACGGCGGGAGCGCCGCTATGCACCCCACGCTGCACTCTCCTGAGTGAGCCATGGGGCCAGCCCTTAACCATTCCCTTTTTGATGGACATTTAATATGGATAGTGCTGCAGTAAAACCACGTATTCTGTGGGAGAGCTTCCTAGAAGTGGAATTGCTCCGTCAAAAGGTAATGCACATTCAAAAATTTGGTAGATCTCAGAATTACCCTGCAGAATCTGATCAGCCATGATCTAACAGCTCATTTGCTCAGTAAAGAGATAAGCAGCTATCTTCCCATACCACTTGTGTACTGGATCCTTTCCCTCCTCCTCCTCCTGCGCACCATAACTGAAAATGGACTGGGACACTACCGAAAGTCACCCTTCTTTTCTCTGTCTTACAGAGTCTGGCCACAGATAAGAGACCAAAATGACTGACTCAAAATATTTCACCACGACCAAGAAAGGTACCATTTGTTTTGTTGTGGGCCTTGTCCTGCTCTTTCCCTGCCTGACCCTTCCGCTTGCTCCCTGTCGGGGAGGGGAGCAGGAGTGGGGGTGGAGGCCTGGAAGCACTGGTGGGAATGGCCTAGAGCTTCTGAATTGACTGCTTCATTTAGAATTCAGGAAGGGAAGAATATTAGCTCCAAGTATGGAAAAAAGCCCACTTTTGTTCCCCACAGCTTATAATAGGTAAATGTAATGTCTTTTTCCTGAGGGAAAGAAAACACACAATCCTATCAACAACCCCACAGTGATAAGTGTGTGTACGTGTGTGGTCCTTATCCATGGGTGCATGTTTTTCCTGGTTGAAGTCAGAGTTCTCATCCTGTTTTTTATTTGACATTGTCACAAACACTTCTCAACAATTCTCATGACTCAATGTTAAGTCTGTTGAATTGCTGCACTGAAATTTGCTAAGCCAGGCGTATGTAGTTGGGTATTTTGGTTGTTTCTGCTTTTAAGGTAATGGAGGATGTTGTTGTGTCTGACAAATGTGCTTTAACCCTACAAATATCTTTCTGACCAGCCCTTCCTACTCCTTCTTTCCAAGTGAGATTGACACATGCCTGCTGACAGATGGAAAGAGTCTGTTGTTGGATCACCTGAGCCAGAACTCAAAAGTTGAGCACCTACCATGTGCAGTGGAAGAGACAGACAGAGTCTCTGATCTGGCTTTGCTCATTGTTGACCAGGGAAGATGGTCTATTAAGTAGTAATCACACTAAAGAGTGGTAGGTGCAGGAGGCTGTGGGAGAGCTAGCAAGCTAGCCAGATAAAAGGGGGTGTGGAGAAGGGGAGGGAGGGAGTGTTCTGCTTGTGATACAATCAGGGAAAGGAGAGTAGTGGGGCACAGGTTACTGAGGGGCATGATGCAAGAAGAGTTGGAGAGGCATGCAGGGATCAGCTGTGCAGGGTCTGGGAGCCAGGCCAGGAGGGTGTGAACTTACTGCTGAGTGTATTGGAATATCAGTGGTGGGGTATTTTTGTGGGTTATCTTTTGGGGAGAGTGGAGAGATGCCTGGGTTCAAATCTTGAATCTAACATCAGGAATGGGTTTTTTTCGTTTTGTTTTGGGTGTTTTTTTGGTGGCTGGCCAGTAAGGGAATCTGAGCCCTTGACCTTGGTGTTATAACACCACGCTCTAACTAACCGAGCTAAACGGCCAACAGTGATGGTTTTTTAAGTTAAGGAAGGTCTGAGGGAGATTTTAATAAAGTATTGAAGTGAATGAAACTGGAGGGAGGCAGGGAGACCAGTAAGCAGCTCTGATGAGAGATGATGCCTAAGCCTGGGGATGGCGGTGGGAGTGGAGGGATTGGCTTTGGAGGTAGAGAGAATTGGATGCCTTATATGCGATGGAGAAGGTAGGCTTAGTGACTGACCAGATTTGGGGGCCCATTAGAGAAAGGCATTTCAGAGGCAGTCATAACCCAGGTTCACTCACCAGCTTTCTTGGAGTTTCTTTGACTCAGGTCTAGACGTATCAATTGACAACCAGTTGTACTGGACCTGGTCAAATGTTTCAAGCAAAGCAGCGGCAGCCCTGCAGAGGGGTCCAGGGTTAAGACTGTCACTGTCTGTTGGATCCCAGAGCCAGCAGACATGGGCCCCTCACTCTCTTGCAGGAGAAGGTATATGTTCCTTGAATGAATTTGCACTGCCAGATCTGCAAATTCCTCCTGGCTCCGTTGAGTAGTGTCCTCAGTGTGGCCTTCCCTGTGCTGTGCTGTGGGTGGTTCTTCATGAACCATGTTTGCTATCTCTCATCTCAGTTTCTTTGCTGAGCACCACACTGTTCAGTCATGATAAAAACCGGCTTCTTTTCCTTTTTTTCTCAGTGTAAATCCATGTAGAACTTCCTCAGCAGTTTCCCCGACATGGTAGTCTCTGCTTCACCTCCACACCATGTAACTTGAGAGGGAAGCCCAGTACTCTCATTCTATAAAAGAGGGATCCAAAAGCAGAGGGTCACCTGACAAATTAGTAATCATAGCCGTCACCCTTAATGAACATCACCAAGTAGGAGGCACTGAGATGAGCTTCTCACATCTGAGTGTTAAATGAGAAAATACAATGCCCCAGGCAAGGGAGAGCCTATAGACAAGGAAGCAGAGTCAGAGAGGCAGAGAGAGTGTCCTGGGTAGGCCCAAGCTTTGGGATCTAGAGCATGGGCTTTGGAGCTGGCAGACCTGGTTGAATCTTGGCCTTCCACCTACTAGCTGTGTGTGAGTTACCGGATCTCTTACAGCCTCCCATTTTCAGTCTGTAAAATGGGGAAATGCAGAGTCATTGTGAGGATGAAATGAGAAAAGGTGTGGGAAAAAATTGTGGCACTGGACTTAGAGAAAGGCTCAGGAAGTGAAAGCTGCCCTCCTAACCTGTTAACAAGGTCTTGCTGTCTCTCCATGGCAGGGCCCTGCACAGCCCTGCTTCCTCATTTGCTTTTTCCACATCATCAAGTTCTTAAGAACAATTCGTTACATGCTAGAGCCCTCGTGGGGCAGCTGAATTCCCATTTGCAGAGCTGATCAACCACTTGTGGTGCAGGAAGTGAAACCCTGAGCAAGCTCTTTTAACTAAAAGTTCTAGGAAAACAGGAAAAGCCTACGTCTGGGGATTGATCAAACCCTGCGCTCTCCCTGCAAACCTTGAGTACCCAGATTCCATCACACTCGGCCTTGAGGGCCTTCAGTTGAGCAAGGGTAGCTAGGAAGGCTTTACTTTCTTTTATGTTTAGAGCAGTCTGGCTGAGCAGGACCTGCCTCCTGCCTTTTGCCTCCCTCACAACCTTTGTAGCTTCCATGTTTCCTGTCTCTTCAACACAGCATGGCCATCCAGCTTGCATCTGGATAATTCCTTTCCTAACAATCATCCCTCACTGTTGCCTGTCCCACCTGAAGCCAGGGGCTGAAAGCTGCCCACAGCCAGCAGCACAGGGTGTCTTACTTGCCTCCCCCAGTTCTTTTGGAAGTTGGGGACAGGGAATCATCTCCCAGTAGGATGGGGATAGGTCACTTATGCCTGCCTCCTTTTCTTAGGGGAGATCTTCGAGCTGAAGGCAGAGCTCAACAGTGACAAGAAGGAAAAGAAGAAGGAGGCAGTGAAGAAAGTGATCGCTTCAATGACCGTGGGCAAAGACGTCAGGTGTGTAGGAGCAAGCCACAAGCTGGTGGTAGCCGGAAACTGGCTGATGGGAGGGTTTATAGCTTGGGCCCTAGGAACCCATGTCTCCCCTTGATCAACTTCCTTTCCAAACAGAAGGTTTGTTTACATAGGAGTCCTGAGCTCAGATGCTGATGGGTCAGGCAGCAACAGAGTGAGTGATGTAGACTAGGTCAGAAAGGCAGCAGGTGGTGAAGCGGGTATGGTGTGAACCCTAGAGGATTGCCGCTGGCTGGGGAAGATGGACCCAGTGTGGCCAGGTCTTCTGGTGCTTAAAAAGAAGGGGAAATCTGGAGTTTTCTTTTTAAATCTCCCTGTTTTAAATTGCCAGATGCTATTAAACAAACAAACACAAACAAACACTGTGTGGCCCAAGTAAAACACACCTGCAGATTGGATCTCTAATTTGTCACCAGTTTTGTGACCTCTGGTTTGCGTCTGACAGCTGGAATAGGTCCTGTGTAGAATGGCTGCCGCACTTTTGCCTGTGCTTTTCCCCTGCAGGGAAGGCCCATTGACCCAGCCTGTTTGCCCATCTTTTAAAACCCATTCAAGGTCTGGCTTCTCCCTGTCGCCTTCCCTCATACCCAGCCCACTGCCCTGAGCTCAAAGCATTTGCTCTCTGTCTGTCACCCAGCACTAAATCTAGACTGTTGTCTTATCATGTACTTGTGTTTACCTGCCCAGCAGATCGTAAAGTCCCCGAAGGCAAGGACTGGATTTACACAACTTAATGTTTGCATAGTGTTTGAGAGTCTGCAGAACACTTTCAGATACATTTTCTCAGTAGTTCCTTTTACAATACCCATATCGTAGGTGATGATAAGTTTATTGCTAAAGAAACAAGACAAGGAGTAAAATGACTGCCTAACAGTCACATGGTTAATGGCAGGGACCTGAGCCTAGCCCTTCTAAAATCCAAATCCAGGTTGCTTTTACCTATCGCCTTTCCTCTGTGCCCTCATGGTGCCCAGCCCTGTGCCTCGTGGGCCTGGGTCCTGGTGTGGAGCAGCTCCCCATCCAGGGCCCACAACAGGATCACACTACTCCAGACTTCCCCGTGGATTGCCCTATCCTATTGCCACCCTTAGCAAGGGACCTCCTGACAATGACTCAGGAGAAGCAGCTCTGCAGAGAGACCTGCTCAAGACAGAGCGGCAAAGGGATCAGGCTCTGCTGGGAAACTGGGCTTCCTTCAAGTCAGATTTCTTCCAGGCAGAGCTGCTCTCCTTAAACTAGAACCCTGCTGTCACCTCCTCTCAGAGGAAACATCTTTGTTCTTCCATCTCAAAAGACCTTTTTTTGCTGACGTGATGGGTCCAAAAGAGCAAGTCAGGCTCATCAGCAGCTCTTCCTCTTCTCCCCCGACTCCCTGCCCTTCCTGGCGGGTCATCTTTCAGGGTGGTGTATGTATTTCAGCCTCAGCTGGACTCCTGCCTGCTAGAGCTCAGGAAATTCACTTTGACCTCTTAAGTCTCTATGTTGCCACATCCTTGCCTGTGAAAGCACGAGAATTGAGAGGGTAGGCAATGGTCCCAGGGACAGAAAATTAATCTCTAACCATATTTCACATTTCATGAGGGCCTGTGACTCTGGGACCATTGGGTACCATGTTGAGAAGGGCTCCACTCAGTATGACAGTGATCATGAGCATGGGCTTTGGAGTCAGACCTGGCTCCTCAGGCAGATTTGACATTTATGAACCTCAGCATTGTCTTCTGTGAAATGGGGATAAGCTCTGGCTTCTCAGAGCTGTTAAATGAGATCAAGTATGTGAAGCCCTTAGCACCAAGCCTGGTGTGTGGCATGTGCTCCATACGTGCTGTGCTGGTTCTTGATGGGTGCCAGAACTGGCCCTTGTGGTGAAAGCAACATGGCTCATCCGTGCTTCCCTATGACCCTCCTGAACTAGCAGCCTGATAGAAGGGAACACGTTAAGTATCGGGGAGGGAAAAAGAATCATTTTCATTTACTGAGCACCTCCCAGATATCAAGGACCAGCTACCTTAAGTATATTGTCTCATGTAGTTATGATAAGGGCCCCGTGAAGTGAGTTTCTGTTGTACCTTTCTTGCAAATGAGGAAACTGAAACTCAGGATGAAGGAATTATCTGAATGTTGTATGTCAAGCAAGAGCAGAGGTGGGTTTGTTGGGCTCCAGAGTTCATGTTTGAACTGTGTGGAAAGAACAAAGGGTGTTTTTTGCTTTTAGAATCATCATTTGGGATTCCATTTCTACCAACAGTGTTCATGCTAACAGCATAGCTGATGTCCTCCCTTTTACCAGGAAGTCCTGTTTATCTCTTTTTCCCACCTTCCCCCTGTCTTCCGCAGTCATCCCCATTAACTGCCTGAATATCTTCCTCTTGCTTTCTGCAGTCTTCCCCACACTGACACCATTTTGACCTTTCAGTGCCCTCTTCCCCGACGTGGTGAACTGTATGCAGACAGATAATCTGGAGCTGAAGAAACTGGTGTACCTGTACTTGATGAACTATGCCAAGAGTCAGCCCGACATGGCCATTATGGCCGTCAACACCTTTGTGAAGGTGAGTAGTAGCTTGGTGGGAGTGGAGGCATAGGGTGCTCACTGCTCCATCTCCCCTCAGTCTCCACGGGGTGGGGCCCTGCAGCCCTGGGCGGAAACACTCAGACTCCTTTCCAGACCCTCAGACCACCTCAGACCACCTCCAGCCTGAGGACCTCTTCCTCCAGCAGAGGGCTCCCACTCTCTCCAGAAAGTCAGATGCTAAAAACCCCGTCAAAGCCAAGGCCTATTGATCCCTTCATGCCCCTGGGCATGGGCCAGTGCCCTGCATGCTGTGCCAAGCAGGATTCAGCAAGCTCCTGAGAGCTTCTGTATTCTCTTCTAGACTTTGCCACTTTCCACATTTTCTATCCTCCAGACTGAGAAGCAAACAGGGAATTGAATTGTTCCCTCTGTGCGTCTTTAGAACGTTAAGCTCCCCCAACCCTATTGTGACCATATGTGGGAAAAATGAAGGTTTCTGTGGCCCAATGGAAAGACTGAGGGTTGTGGTGCTGCATGGATGTGGGTTTGAATCAAGGCTCTGCTCTGTGACTTTGGGTGAGCCTCTTTCTGAGAACCTCTGCTTCCTCACATATAAAATGGAGCCAGTATTATATGTCTGCTGTGAGACTCAAAGGAGACAGTGTGCTTCAAAAGGAAAGAACAGACCTATAATTACTAGAGGTGGGAAGGGGGGTGAGAATTAGGGAGTAATTGAGTGAGAGACACAAAGAATAATTACAATTTGATCATCACATACTGTACACAAATACTGACAGTCAACTCTGTACCCCATAAATATGTATAATCAAAAATTAAAAACAGAAAACAAAGGAGACAGTGTGCAAAGCCCCTGGCACAGTATCTGGCAAATGCTAGGTGCCCGTTACATGGCATTTACTTTTGGTACTGTTGGCTGCAGTTGGTGGAGATCCCACAGCAGCTGTCCGATGTTGCTCAGAGCTGCAGGCCTGGGAGGATATGAAGCCACAGTTGGCTCATCCCACCCCTGCCCCCGGCCAATGGCTGCTTCCCCTCAGGACTGTGAGGACCCCAACCCCCTCATCCGGGCACTGGCTGTACGGACCATGGGCTGCATCCGAGTTGACAAGATCACAGAGTACCTGTGCGAACCCCTCCGGAAGTGCCTGAAAGATGAGGATCCATATGTGCGCAAGACAGCTGCCGTGTGCGTGGCCAAGCTCCACGACATCAACGCCCAGCTGGTGGAGGACCAGGGCTTCCTAGACACCCTTAAAGACCTCATCTCTGACTCTAACCCCATGGTAAGCCACAGCCTCCTACTGTGCCACCTCCGCCACCTTCTGGGTTGCTTGGGAAGACATTGGCTTGACCCTCCACCAGGCAGTCGCCAGTTCCTGGAAGTCAACACCTTACTGGGTGGGATAACTGTTCTTGTGCCTTGTGGTGATTTGGGCACCATCTTTGGGGTGAGCTAGACATGGATTCCTTTCTCTGTGCCTTCTCTAACTGCCTGTGCAACCTTGGGCAAGCTGCCTAATCATCCAGAGCCCTTTATTCTTCATGGTAAGATGGATCTAATTCTGCATGGCTGGCAGGCATGCTCGGAAGGTAACGTGCCTGGCATGGCCTGACACACAGTAGGTGTACAATCAACACTAGTGCCCCCTTCCAGAACTTCCAGTCACTGACATTGTCCTTGTCTTCTCATCAAGACCATTGGTAACCTCTGAATATAAGGTGCTTTTCCTTTTCCCACATCTTTGCAGGGTTAAGACAGGACACCAGGATGTGGAGAACCCCACCAGGAACACCAGTCTCCTCACCCACAGCAGTGGCAGCGGTTTGGAGGGCAGTTTGGCAGGGCCTGTTTAATATGAAATGCACAAACCTCTTGGCCCAGCCATTCCCATTGTGCATCCTACAGAAACACATTGGAGCAGTTTATCACAGGGAAAAGTCGTTAACAGTGCAGAGCATTTCTAGTAGAAATGGGTTGATGGTCCAGAGCTTCACCTGGAAAGCCCCTCTACTCCAGCCCCCATCCACTTGCAGCGGCCTTTAGGGCCTCTGCAGGAATCTTCTAACTCTGAGAAGCACAGTTGACAATCACTGAAATAAGCTGTAGTAGCTGGTAGACGGGGGCTGTTGTGTTAGGTAGCTGGGAATGCTTTCTGTTGCCAGGCATTGGGAGCTAGATCTTTCTTGTTTTTTTAAATGGTAGGTACACTTATTTTAAGTTCAGCGCGCAGAGGAATCACAGAGTAAGTGTGTGGTGTGGGTCTTCTTGATGCTCCAGACCTTGCCCATTAGGTCATATTCCTTCCAGGATGTTCGACCTCTGACCAGCCAGCGTCATTAGCCCTGCTGCCCCTTGGCCTGTGAGCAGCACCCCAGCCTCTGCCCCTTCCACCCTCTCAACCAGGTGGTGGCAAACGCAGTAGCTGCCCTCTCAGAGATCGCTGAGTCTCACCCCAGCAGCAACCTGCTCGACCTGAACCCGCAGTCCATTAACAAGCTGCTGACAGCCCTGAATGAATGCACCGAGTGGGGCCAGATCTTCATTCTGGACTGCTTGGCCAACTATACACCCAAAGACGACCGCGAGGCCCAGAGGTGAGCAGGCTTCTCCTTACTGCCAACCAGCTGGACCTGGTCCTCGGGTCTCCAGCCACAAGCTGAGCCTCACGCCTTAGTGAGCTCCTTTCCAGGGCTTTGCCCCACAAACCATCCTCAGGCACACCTCAAGGGAGGCCTGCCCACTAACCATCTCTCCAGAGCCAGACGGTCAGTAGTGCTGCTTCAGCCAGTCAGCTTACTGCTCACTGTGAGCACAGACAAGGCCTGGCCTGGGGCTCTGCAGGGTGCCTTCCACACATTAGATAATCTTTAAAGCAACTGTCTGAAGGAGGTCCCATCATCATCCCCCATTTTACAGATGAGGAAGTGTGGCTTAGAGAGGTGGAGGGAATTTTGCAGGTCACCCTACTGGGATTCACATGACTCTTGGTCTTAACCAACATGATATTCTGCCCCTTTTGAATGCCCTGGCAGTAGGAGGAAGGAGGGAGGTGACATTTATAGAGTATTTACTACATGCCAGGCACTGTGCTCAATACTTTATATGCAGGATCTCATTTAAACCTCCAGCAACCCTGTGAAGTAGGCAGCATCATCTCCATTTTATAGACAAGGAAACTGAGACACAGAGTGATTTGAACCTGCTGGGGGTCAGTTAGCAGGCAGCAGAACCAGGATCTAGATCTTTCTTCTATAGAAGACATGCTATTTTGATAACTAAAAACAGGATGTCTCCCCTTGTCTGTCTTTCCTGTTTACCCCATTGAAATGGACCCCAGCATCTGTGAGCGGGTCACACCCAGGCTCTCCCATGCCAACTCTGCAGTGGTGCTGTCTGCTGTGAAGGTGCTGATGAAGTTCATGGAGATGCTGTCTAAGGACTTGGACTACTACGGCACGCTGCTCAAGAAGCTGGCCCCGCCCCTGGTCACATTGTTGTCAGCTGAGCCAGAGCTACAGTACGTGGCCCTGCGCAACATCAACCTCATTGTGCAGAAAAGGTACCGAAACCGTCACACACACATGCAGTGCATACCTCTGGGAGAGTCTCTTCTGGGAACGGAAGCTCTCACCATGCAGGAAGTCTCAAAGAATATCTTAACCCAGGGGTTTACAGTCAGGGGCAACTTTGACCCCCCAGGGGACATTGGGCAATGTCTGGAGACATTTTTGGTTGTCACAGCTGGGGTGGGTGGTACTACCAGTGTCTTGTGGATAGAGGCCAGGGATGCACAGGACAGCCCCCCACAACAAGGAATTATCTGGGCCCAAAATGTCAAGAGTGCCAAGCTTGAGAAGCCCCTAGCTTAACCCAACCAGGGAACAGGCTAGGTAAAGTCTAGCATTAGGCTTCTTAATCCAGACATTGGATGGTTTCAGAGCCCACAGAGCCCTCCTGAAATGGGGTTTGCTTGCGTGTGTGTATGTGGGAATACAATTTTCCTTGGAACAGAGTCCATAGCTATAGTCAAATTTCCTGATACTGGAGAACTCCAAGATCGTGAGGAACCTTTGGACTTGGGGTCTAGAGGAGAGGATATCAAAGTCAATCAAAATGCTATATAGACCATCCCCCCCCCCCCCCCCCCCCCCCCCCCCCCCCCCCCCCCCCCCCCCCCCCCCCCCCCCCCCCCCCCCCCCCCCCCCCCCCCCCCCCCCCCCCCCCCCCCCCCCCCCCCCCCCCCCCCCCCCCCCCCCCCCCCCCCCCCCCCCCCCCCCCCCCCCCCCCCCCCCCCCCCCCCCCCCCCCCCCCCCCCCCCCCCCCCCCCCCCCCCCCCCCCCCCCCCCCCCCCCCCCCCCCCCCCCCCCCCCCCCCCCCCCCCCCCCCCCCCCCCCCCCCCCCCCCCCCCCCCCCCCCCCCCCCCCCCCCCCCCCCCCCCCCCCCCCCCCCCCCCCCCCCCCCCCCCCCCCCCCCCCCCCCCCCCCCCCCCCCCCCCCCCCCCCCCCCCCCCCCCCCCCCCCCCGCCATGAGAATGACTGGCAGTAAGCCACTGCTCCTAAGGCAAGGGATCTGGTACCTGGGGTGGGTGGGGGTAAAAGACAGTTGAGCAGTGCTGAGTCTGAGGCCTAGAGCAGGATGGGTTCTCCAGAATGATCCCCTCCTTCCTGTGAGGCAGCTCAGAATGAGGGAGCCCTGCAACTCCTGGAAGTGGGATTGGCCTCCTGAGTTCTAGCCTTTTTGGTTAAATGGCTCACTCAGCGATCAGGACTTGGCAGTAGCAACTAACAATTGAGTATCCATGTTTTTTAGCAGGCCCCTTTGCTGGGAGCAGGGATGCACAGAGAATAAGGGCCTCTTTGAAAGGCCTCTCATTCTCTCTGAGAAGATAGCACATGCCCTTTTTTGTCCTAGCATCGGTCTGGTTCTTGGTACTCTCTTGGGGACCCAGAGAGTTCAATCAGGACGTTTGTAAAGATTTGGGAGGTAAACATGGGAAAGGAATGAGACTGGGGCTTCACAGCGGCAGTGCGGGTCTTTTTACACACCAGGGCCCTTGGGTCACTGGGTTTAATAGATTTGTAGATCCTGATCGGCATGAAGGGCTCCCTGTGCTATATTTAACATATTAAATCCCTTAAGAAGTTGTCCATGTCACTGAGACATGACCTGGTCTGGTCCTGACATGTGGTTGGGCAGCTCTTGCCAAGTACTGTTCACAGAAATCATCTTCCTGCTGTTCACCTCAGGGTCTTGCCTCTCCAATGGGACATGACAGGCTCCTTGGTTGGCCAGGACCTCCCTTTAGCTTGTACAGCAGCACTAGTACCCGGGGTTCCTCCTTTCTCTCTGCCCTCTCTTCTCCCTTCTTTACCATCTGTCCTCATTCCTTTTCCTTCCTCCTGTCTGTTCTGGAGAGGGCATAGGAGTCGGAGTCAGGGGGTGCTGGCTCTTATTAGCATTAGATGTGTGACCTAGTGCAAGCCTCTCAACCTCTCTGAGGTTTCTTTGTCTAAAAAAAATGAGGTGGTGAGAGCCAGCCCGTGGCTCACTCGGGAGAGTGCGGTGCTGATAACACCAAGGCCATGGGTTCGAATCCTATATAGGGATGGCCAGTTAGCTCACTGGCTGAGCGTGATGCTGATAACACCAAGCCAAGGGCTGAGATCCACTTACCGGTCATCTTCTAAAAAAAAAAGAAAAGAAAAGAAAAATGAGGTGGTGGTGCCAGTTGAGGGCAGAAGGGTATTGCCTTTGAGGGAGGAGCAATGATGCATGTGGAAGGGCCCTGCTGGTGACAGCTCCTACCTAGCCAGTGCCTTCTATGAGGCGGGCATCAGTCATGCTAGATGCTTCATGCCTAACACAGTAGGCCTGTCGTGTAGGTGTCTGTGTCCGGGTCCCCAAGACCAACCCTACATTCAGGGATTCACTAACAGGACTCACAGGACTCAGCTATAGTTGTACTCATGGCTAAGATTTCTTAGAGCCGTGTAGTGTTGATACGCGCCTGGATCATAAGGGAGAAAGGCTCAGGTAGAGTCTGGAGGAATCCATGAGAGGCCTCTTTATGCTCCCTCCAATGGGGCAGTCACACAGAGCACACTCCTCCCGTAACAACAAAATGCAGCCACGTGTGTAATGTTTCTGCCCAGGGAAGCCTAACTGAGACTTAGCATCCACGGTTTTTACTGGGGGCACCTACCAAAATGCCAGACTCCCAGAAGGAAAGCAGGTGTTCAGCATAAATCAAATTATTTATACAAATAGTTTAAGCACAGTTAATCACCTTTATCTTTTAGGGAAGTGAGAACTTCACTGAAATCTGAGTCCCCACATGCCAGGCCTTTCTGAGACTAGCAGACTCAGGCCTGCAATCTAACACTTCATTTCCATTTCATGGGTGAGAAAACATGCCTGAGGTCACAAGCTAGGATTGGAACCGAGATCTGTCTGATTCCCAAGCCCGTCACATGGTGCCTGCTGCTCTCAAATGTGAACTGTCTCTTGCTTTACTCCCTCTTCCCTTCCTGTGATGTGGTCAGACATGCAGCACCCAGTCAAACCTTGCTCAGGCCGGTCAGTGGGCCCTCTGCCCAGGCAGGTGCACCTACAGCAGTGACTCTGCCTTCGCGGACGTCAGGCTCCACCTCAGACCCCAGAAATGTCCCAACAAATGTGGAGGGTTTTTTTTTTTTTTTTTAAAGATGACCGGTAAGGGGATCTTAACCCTTGACTTGGTGGTGTTAGCTCTCCCAAGTGAGCTAACCGGCCATCCCTATATCACCTACAGCAGTGACTCTGCCTTCGCGGACGTCAGGCTCCCCCTCAGGCCCCAGAAATGTCCCAACAAATGTGGAGGGTTTTTTGTTTTTTTTTTAAAGATGACCGGTAAGGGGATCTTAACCCTTGACTTGGGGGTGTTAGCTCTCCCAAGTGAGCTAACCGGCCATCCCTATATAGGGATCCAAACCCGTGGCCTTGGTGTTTTCAGTACCACACTCTCCCAGGTGAGCCACGGGCCAGCCCTTGGAGGGGTTTTCTCACAGGGAGAAAACCTTGCCTTGATTTTTGCTCTCTGGGCATCCTGCCCCACCACCAGGCCTGAGATCCTGAAGCACGAGATGAAGGTCTTCTTCGTGAAATACAATGACCCCATCTATGTGAAGCTGGAGAAGCTGGACATCATGATCCGCCTAGCATCCCAGGCCAACATCGCCCAGGTCAGCAGTGTGTGGTGGTCAGGGCTCCACAACCAACAAGCTGTGGTCTCTGGGCCAACCACCCCATCTCACTGTTAACAGTTCATCTCATGAAGAGTGTTTAGCATGAGGCATGGGCTTTGTAGGCAAGTAAAAAACTGATATTTGTTACTAAAGAATGTTCTCCATATTATTACCTGTCGTCATCCATCCATTAAAAAGTGGTAGTTGGATGTGTAGCTAGATAACCTGAAACAAGAGTTGTCCATCTATGCCAACTAATCCTTCCCTGTTTTTCTTTTGGGGCACCTGACAGCTCTCTCCCTCCCTAGGGCCTTCCACCTTGAGCAGGAGGCAGAATCCCATCCTTCTAGGGCTCTGTGAATACCCACTGCCTAGGAATGTTTTAAGAGGTTGCCCTGTCAGATCCCCTCCAACCTCTTCTCTGCTTGGGCCACAGGTGTTGGCGGAGCTGAAAGAGTACGCGACAGAAGTGGATGTGGACTTTGTACGGAAGGCTGTGCGTGCCATCGGCCGCTGTGCCATCAAGGTGGAGGTGAGCCTCTGGGGCTCTGTCTTTGGCCAGGGGAGGGAAAGAGAGCCAAAATCAGGAAACCGGTCTGATCGTAGCAGAATCTACCAGCTGTTCATGGTCCAGGACAGCCTGAGAGTCACCACTAGAGCGCCCAGGGCACCCATTGTGCAGATCTGATTGGGCTCCTTCTCACACTTTAGTCTCCTGTAGGCCTTTGAGTTGCTGCAGATGAAATGAACACATCATAATGGTTCTCCTGCAGCCTTAGCTGAGATGATGGAGCAGCAACAAGTTTGCAGTGGCCCTGCTAGACTCAGCTTTCACTTCATGGAGCTTTGGGGCAGGGTCTCTGCCTGTTGAACATATTGGCACATATCATAGTTCAGTTGCCCGTGTGCCTCTTTTCTACAAGCTCCCAGGGCTGCTCCAGACCCTTGTGTCCTGGCATCTCATTCCCCCCACTCTCTGCCTGTGGAGATGTTCTTTGATCACTGAGCCAGACTCTCCTTAAATGGGTCCAGTGGTGGCTAGAGTATCCCAGGACAGCTGTAACCCCCAGCCCAGACCCTTGAGGCATTTTCCCCTTGGCGCTTGTGATGGCTGTCCTGAGAAATCTTTCCCACCAGGCCATTAGCACAGTGTGTGGGAATAAAGGTGGAAGGGCTAGTCCAAACAGAGACTTTTTGAGTGTTTTGGTCTCAGGATCCCATTTTATAAAACAAGTAAAAGAATGGGGGTGAGGTTGGAGTATAGCCATTCTGCCCTCAGGGGTTAACCTGGAGGAGCTCCAAGGGCCCTCCCTGTTCTTAGGAGCTCTGCCTCCAGCTTCTCCTCAGTCTCATTTTTCCCTCTGTTGTCTGGGAGAGCGTTCTCCTATTCTCCATTTGTGACGAGGAAGGCGGGCACCAAGTGACTTGGAGTCCTTGGCCAAGGCGTGCTCATGAGAGGCTCTATTGGAAATGCGGCACAAGGACCTTGCCCACACTCTCCTCCTCCTCCCACACAGCAATCTGCAGAGCGCTGTGTGAGCACACTGCTTGATCTCATCCAGACCAAGGTAAACTACGTGGTCCAGGAAGCCATCGTGGTCATTAAGGACATCTTCCGCAAGTACCCCAACAAGTATGTGCCCACACCTCCCAGGGAAAGGGTGATCTGGCTCTGTTTCGGGACAGATGGTGGAGAAGAACGAGAAAGAGGAGCTTCTCCCCTCTTCCTTCTCTCCTGCAAGCAGCATTCTCAGAAGAAACCCTCTGTTTTTTCTTATTTCCCTTGAGCTGCCCTTCCTCTGCTTCTCAGGCCAAAAAAAGAGCTAAAATATAACAGATAAAACTTAAATTCCCTTTACTTACCACCTCTCAGGGTCTCGGGGGCAGCTGCCTATTGCTCTAGTCCCCTACCGAGCCTCCCCCGGGTTGCCCAGGCTCCTTTGGTGGTCACATTCCAGCTGTGCCCTGGTCTCCCAGGTATGAGAGCGTGATTGCCACGCTGTGTGAGAACTTGGACTCCCTGGATGAGCCTGAGGCCAGGGCTGCTATGATCTGGATCGTGGGCGAGTATGCCGAGCGGATTGACAACGCGGATGAGCTGCTGGAGAGCTTCCTCGAGGGCTTCCATGACGAGAGCACCCAGGTGACTGAAGAGCGGAGCCAACTCGGGCCAGGGAGCAGGGCATGACTGGCCACGGGGGCCCATCCTGCCCTGGAACCCTCCCCTCCCGATACTGTATTGGCAGTGTAGATAGGCAGATGAGTGACAGATGGGTGATAAATGCGGTCCCTTTTCCTCCCTGACTGTGGTACCTCAAGGGGACTTGTGAGACAGTCTGTAGTGGTGTGCATAGAAGGCAGGCAGAAGTTTCTGGTTTTGTTTTAATTTTATATTTATCTTTGGGTAGGTAATACATTGACTTGACTTAAAACTGAAAAGGTACAAAAGGATATGTAGGGAAAAGTCTCCCTCTTACTTCTTTCCCAGCCACCCGTTGTCCTCCCAGAGGTCACCAGTGTTCTTGGTTTCTTGGATACTTCCAGAGTTCGTTTAGGAATGTACCCGCGCATGCGTGCGCGCACACACACACCTACATACATTCATATGCACGGATAGACATTCATACACATACACAGTCGATTCTCAGTATTCGTGGTACTTATGTCCTGTAGTCACTGCAAACATTGAATTAGTGAGTGCTGGACCAGTGCTCCTAGGAGAAATATAGTTAGGTTCTTATGAGCTTCTGGACACAACATTTTTGTCAACCAATCAATATATAACCTTGTTTTATGTGTGTTTCTGTTTAAAGACACCTTATTTAATATGTAGTGATGTATCAACATTGAACTCATGGCCAACAGCATATCACTCATGCCTGAGTGAAGCTTACCTAACACATGTATTTTCTCTGTAAGGCACATCACAACCTTCTTGCACTTAGAAACACTAGACAGCACTTCAGTACTACACTTGGGGCCATTTTAAACACCAACAAAGGGGGCCGGCCCCTGGCTCACTCGGGAGAGTGTAGTGCTGATAACACCAAGGCCACAGGTTCGGATCCTTAAAAAAAATAAAAAATAAAAAACACCAACAAAGGGCTCAAAAAATGTGAAAAACGTGGCACAAAATAGACCATGGAAAGGACCCCTTTTTACAGTATGGCAGGTGAAATAACAAGGCAGAGTGTTGCCTTGCTAGACCCCAGCTGAGAATGTGTGTATCAGGCAACTCAAAGTTTTCACCACTGTGCGCACGTCTGCAAATGACAGAAGCGCCACGAGTATTGATTTGGGGGCTACAAGTGGGCAGATTTACAAATATGGACTCAGTGAATAATAAGGATCAACTCTGTGTGTGTGTATGTTTATATATATATATACACACATTTCCCTCTCATTTATTTTCATTTTTATTCATTTATTTATTTTTTGGGTGGCTGGCCTGTATGGGAATCTAAACCCTTGATCATTTATTTTTAAAAAGCACTGATAGCATACTATGCAAATTCAAATTTTACAGTGCCAAAAAAAAAAAAAAAATTTTACAGTGCCTTGCCTTTTCCCCTTAAAAATATGAGTATATCTGAAGGCCATAGCATTATTAATTTATGCTTTTAACCAGCCTCCCTTGATGGATATTTAGGTGTCCAGTTTTCTGCTCTTTTTTTTTTTTTAAAAGATGACCGGTAAGGGGATCTTAACCCTTGACTTGGTATTGTCAGCACCACGCTCACCCAGTGAGCAACCGGCCATCCCTATATGGGATCCGAACCTGTGGCATGACCGGTAAGGGGATCTTAACCCTTGACTTGGTATTGTCAGCACCACGCTCACCCAGTGAGCAACCGGCCATCCCTATATGGGATCCGAACCTGTGGCATGACCGGTAAGGGGATCTTAACCCTTGACTTGGTATTGTCAGCACCACGCTCACCCAGTGAGCAACCGGCCATCCCTATATGGGATCCGAACCTGTGGCCCTGGTGTTATCAGCACCACACTCTCCCGAGTGAGCCACAGGCCAGCCCAGTCTTCTGCTCTTTTAACCCATCCCACTGTGAGTAATTTGTAATGCACACCTGCAAGTATACTGGAGGATAAATTCTTAGAAGCAGAGTGCTTGGGTAAAAGGGCACGTGCATTTGAGATTTTGGTCAGTACTGCTGGATTGGTATATAGGTTGTACCAGTTTACACTCCCATCTCAGATGGTGGGATGGCGCTTTCCTAGCTCCTGGCCATCCTAGGGCATCCTCACACTTTGTTTTTGCCAGTGTGATGGATAATAGGGGGTACCTCAGTGTAGTTTTGTTTGAATTTCCTTTTTTTTTTTTTTTTGGCACCTGTCCAGTATGGGAATCCAAACCCTTGACCTTAGTGTTACAACACCGTGCTCTTTCCAGCTGAGCTAACTGGCCAGCCCTGCATTTCTGTTGTGAGTGAGGTTGAGCATCTTGACATTTGTATTCCTTTTTCTGGAAACTGGGAACTGTCCATTCATGCATATGAGCCTTTAAAAAGTCTGTTATGAGCACAGAAATCTTAGCTGCTCAGTAGGGGCCATGTAACCCAGTGGGTCCAAGCGTGGGCCTTGGAATTGGAGATAATACAGTCCACACCTCTCTTCTGCCCCTGCCTGGTTTGGTCACTTTACACTTATCCCTTTACCTCTCTGAGCCTCAGTTTCCTCATTTGTAAAATAAGAACTGTTAGACTTTCCCTCATCTCCTTGTTGTGAAAATTAAATGGGATGCTTTGTGTAATGTTCTTAAAACATTCCCAGCTCATGATAAGTACTCATTAATGGCAGTATTGGTTTGGGTCAGAACTGCTTTCAAAAGCAAACTAGTCCAGGCCAAAAAAGGGACTGACTATTTCCCATAGCTGGCAAGTCTAGGTAGAATGCTCTCTTCCTGCACTCCAGGCTGAGGATACTCAGATGATGGCATTGGGGTGTCTCTGCGATCCTGGGGTGGTTTCTACAAGTGGGGGCTGCAAGGGCTCAACAGTTCCAGGCTACTCTATATAGCTAAACAACTCCCCCGAGGTAGTTCCAGCAAAAACCCTAGGGGCTATTTGTATCATCCTGAGTCAGTTGCTGTGACTCTTATTGGCCAGGTCTCTCAGGTGCTGGTCCCAGTCTGTGTGGATTGAAAGGGACAGAGAGATGGGCAGTTCTCTGAAGGAAGGCCAGCATTTCTGTTACCAGAAGACAGAATAGATGGGGGTGAGCAAAGACAGTGGAAGCACAGCCTGGCCTGTGACGAGTTCTGCCCCTGCTATCAATCCTGCCTGGGATCACTGCAGAGGATGTCCTGGAGGGGTGTGTTTCTGCCCACATATTAGAGTTAATCTTCTGCAGCCTCTTCCCTGTCAGTTAAGCCAGCTAAGAAGCAAGGATTAGAGAAGTCGGACAAGAGGAAGCTGAACCAGGAGCCTGGTTTTGGGAATAGAAACAGGGCTCTGAAGTTTTGAATCTAGGCTCCTCCCCTGTTGTATGGCCCAGAGCATGTTACTTAAACTCACCAAGCCTGTTTCCTTGTCTCTAGTCCAAGGTTATTGCAAAGATTATTGGATGCTGTGTATAAAGTACTCACTCTGGTGCTCAGTAAACGATAGCTGGATGGTGGTGGTGTTTTAATTGGGTGGCCTGTTCCCTTTGTGTCCTGGGTTCACAACACAGTTGAAAGCTCTTTTAAGAGTACTTGTTCAGTGCTTTACAGTTTTGGAACTCATTTTAGATTGTCCCTTTGAGCCTTCTCATCCTTGGCTCCTAGGCCAAGGTGCTACATCAGCCCAGCCTGTCTGGATGGCAAGGGCAGTGGCATCATTGTGGAGGGGCTGCCTTTAGTATGCAGGCAGATGGGGCATCGATGTATTGGGGGGAGCTGGGCGGAGAGCTGATCTGGGGCCTTGGGCTGGTGGCCAGAGCACGCTCTGGCAGCAGAGACTGAGGCAACCTGACCGTGAAGCACAGCAGACGTGCCAGTGATGGATGATTTCTGGCAGCCAGCTGACTGGTGGAGGAGAGCTTGTCATGAGTCCCTGTGTGGTGGTAGTGGGGGTTACAATGGCAATGAGGGTGGCTGTTGTGTACTGAGCAGAATGCATAGTAGGTTCTTTACATTTGTGTCTCGTTGACTCTTCCCATTAACCATGTGAGGAATTATACTCATTTTATTATTATTAATTTTTTTTGGCAGCTGGCTGGTAAGGGGATCTAAACCATTGACCTTGGTGTTATAATACCACACTCTAACCAACTGAGCTAACCCACCAGTCCCCATACCTGTGTTATAGAAGAGGAAAGCGACCCAGAGAAGTTAAATGACTTGTCCAGGGTCACCAAGCTGGAAAGTGATAGAACCAGAGTTCAAATGAGGTGTGATCTGACTCTACCCCCAAGTAAGCTGCCATAAGTTGCCATTTTCAAAGTTCACAAGAACCCCCAGAAGCAGGCCACACCTCTCTTTCACAGACGGAGAGGAAATGACTTCCCATAAGCCACCCAGCCAGGGGTGGAGTCAGGTCTGGAAGCTGCTACTCTGCCGTTGTCCCATGCATAACAAGATCGCAAGGGTCTGGATCATTTAACCCTAGAAACAGATCCATTCCCTCCATCCCACCTGCACTGTCAGCCTGCCCTGCATACCAGGATCATTGAGCCATTCGTTTCTATGAGTACCTGCTGCTTCACAGACCCAGGAGATGCCACCAGGACTGCTGCTACTGAGCGTCCTGCACCACCACTCCTGCTCCTGCCACAGACCTGGCCCTGGCACAGCCTATGGGCTTCTAGTGCTACCATGGCTCTGGAGCCTCAGGCTGCCCTCTTGTCCCTGGGCTGGCAAAAATGAGATTGTGGCTAAGGAAGGACTGTGGGCAGAAAATTGTTCTTGCATAGATGTTTTTTCAGTCAGCCAGTATTTCTTAAGTGCTTGCTATGCTCCAGGCACTAGACTGAGCAGTAACTAGGGATAAAGCAGAGAGCAAGAGAGGGAACTCAGTGCCTCATGACAGCCTGGCAACTGGTGATGCCAGTGAGGGGGGTGAAGGAGGCTGCAGAAGCGCGGGGGGTTGGGACAGGGTCAGCATGGGAGCCAAGGATGAGGAGGTGTTGGCCAGGCTGAGGGCAGCAGGCATGTCAAAGTGAAAGGTGGGGGCTGGTGCAGATCCTGGCAGGAATGGCTCCTGCTGTCAGGTAGAAGCACAGCTCCTTCATGGCAGGCTGGCTTAGTGAGCTCTACTGATGTCCCCGGGCCTTGATGGCACTGTCGTCACTTGTTGACAGATGGCCCCTTTAAGAAGCGTATCAGCTGTGCATGGTGCCTTTTTATACTATGAGCTTCTCATGGTGCCATGAAGCCAAGTGTTCTGACAGGTTTCTAGGACCCTAGGGCTGGGCCACAGCCCCCAGCCTGCCTGAGTTTGCCAGATAGTACAATGCTCAGTCCCTTTCTGATGGAGTAATGCCAAGGTCTGGGCTGCTCAGCAGCACGACACACCTGCTGGCCTCAGCCTGTGTTCCATGGCCTACCCCACACCCAGAAAAGCTGTTCTGGGCTTCTGGCAACTTTGAACACACTTTTCCTCTTCAAGCCCTCAGTTGGTTTCCTGTCATCCCCTGATGAAGCCCACCCTTCCTTCTCATCAGCTCTCTGTCTCCTTGCAGGTCCAGCTGCAGCTGCTGACAGCCATCGTGAAACTCTTTCTGAAGAAGCCAACAGAGACTCAGGAGCTGGTGCAGCAGGTCCTGAGCTTGGCCACTCAGGTGGGTGCCCCAGCCTCCCTGCTGTGCCCAGCACAGCCCTCACTCCAGCAGGGGGAGCTTTGGTCCAAAGAGCCATGCCTAGGAGCCAGTACCACCCCCAAGACTGGCATCTTTAGGAATTTTGGCCCAAGAAATCTAAGATCCCTGCCTTCAGAGAGCTCAGAGTCACAAAGAAATCAAAACCAAGTGGGTTCAAATGGTGAAGTTGGGACAGACTAGAGATGAGGGAGGAGAGGGAGGCCCATGGGAACTGGGGGGCTTGGGGGGGGCAGGGAGGGCAGACCATGGAGGGCAGGTGAGAATGGCAACAGGAGAGGGCATGGCCTACAGCAGGCTGGCTGGAGTAGAGTACCATGGGGAATGAGCCCAGGGCTGGGACATGTCCAGTTAAGTGGTTTAGGGACAGGCTCGTGGAGGGCCCAGGGTTGCTGTTATCGGCCAGCCCAATGACCATACTTGGGTGACGGGGTTGCAGGACCCCTTCCTCTCTTCCTCTCACGTGGTCTCTCTACTCTGTCTCATGGGCTTCTCATCACCCCCCTAAGGACTCAGATAACCCAGACCTGCGAGACCGAGGCTACATCTACTGGCGCCTGCTCTCCACGGACCCCGTGGCTGCCAAGGAGGTGGTGCTGGCTGAGAAGCCACTCATCTCTGAAGAGACAGACCTCATCGAGCCCACGCTGCTGGACGAGCTCATCTGCTACATCGGCACGCTGGCCTCTGTCTACCACAAGCCACCCAGCACCTTTGTAGAGGGGGGTCGGGGCGTGGCTCACAAGAGCCTGCCACCCCGCGCCGCCTCGTGAGTGAAACCTGCCGGCTGCAGCCTGAGCCTCCCGTCTGCCTCCTCAGTTCAGCAGTACAGCTCAGGCCTGGGTCTAAGGAAAACGGATACTTGCAACCTTTAGTCAAGGGCTTACTACACACTAGATGTTCACTAGATGATCTCATCTAGCAACAGCTCTGAGAGAAAATGTCCCCAGTTAACAGATGAGGATAGTAGGCATGGAGAGCTTGAATGGCTGCCCCAAGACCCCACAGCTAGCAGAGCTGGGGCTCAGATTCAGTTCCCAAGCCCTATTTTTGCTGCCTGCTCTGCTGCTCCCAGGTGGTTGGTTTGGCCTGGTTGCACAGTCCTCCAGGGACTAGCATCCAGTTTTCTCTTTAACATGGTCCAAGGAGTGGAAACACAGATGGCCTTGTCCCTTCACTCATCCCCATGGAGAGCCTAGGAGATGGATCAGATGTGGGAATGGGGAGGCTGAGGGGTCATATAGACAGCGCTGTCTAGAATAGCAAGGAGACCCAGTGCCTGTATGAGGAGGATCCTGGAGTCTGGTCTCTTTGACCTTCTGAGATATCCCAATACCCCCAGCCTGCTGACCCTCTGCCTTCCATGTCCTGGCAGGAGCGAGAGCACGGAGAGCCCAGAGACAGCCCCTGCTGGAGCACCCCCTGGTGAGCAGCCAGATGTCATCCCCACTCAGGGCGACCTGCTGGGCGATCTCCTCAACCTGGACCTCGGCCCCCCAGTGAGCGGCCCACCCCTGGCCACCTCCTCAGTGCAGATGGGAGCTGTGGACCTTCTTGGTGGTGGCCTTGACAGCCTGGTATGTCCTGGGCCCCCCTCTAGGTGATGCTGTCAGTGATCTTTAGAGGGGCTATTGCTGAATTCCCCTTCTATGCCAGACATTGGTCAGGTGCCTTAGTACATTTTGTTGAGTCCTTACCATCTGCCCTGGGAGGTGATGTGTAGCTCCCTACTCACAGAGGAGAAAATCAAGGCTTAGAGAGATCAGGCAACCTTCCCCCCCAGATAGCAGAGCTGCTAAGTGGCAGAGGATTCAGCCTCCTCGCTGGAACTTTGAATCCCAGGAGACCTGGGGCAGTTTGGGGCCAATCCTAGCCCTTTCCTACAATTCCGGCCCAAGTTGCCTTTATCCTGTAAAGCTGGGACATTCCTGGCTTTGAGGAACCAGACCAGCATCCACTTACCCTCTTGCTGCACCTGCTGGGGACAGCAGTCAGCTGGCCTATCCGACAGAGGCCCATGAGGGGTCAGGGACAGACCTTTCCTCCTCCTCTGTAGAGAGGGGAGTGGTGAGGATGGCCTGGGTATCTCCCTGGGGCTTCTGGGGCAGCTGGGCCCCTTCATTTAGCCATGCTTAGCTCAGGTCCCCAAGGTTGCCCCTCAGGGCAGGAGTCTGGTGATCAGCACTGCTAGAGCAAGGCTAGGAAGGGCTGTGGTACAGGACATGGAGTGGTGGGGTGAAGCCATGGGGGATTGTGCCTTTCACAGAGATGAGGGGTCTGGGCCTTTTCAGGCCCTGGCACACCTTGTACCAAACTCCCCTCGGATGGAGTAGCAGTTGACTAATCTTTTCCCTCTTTCCCTTTCTCTCTCTTGTCTCTCTCTGTCTTCTTTCCTGGCTCTTCTTTCTGCATGTCGCTGCCTGTTCTCTTCACCCTGCCTGCTTCTGCTTGGAGATGGGGGATGAGCCTGAAGGGGTACGGTTCAACCCTTGTGTCACCAAGCCTTTGTCCCTGCTCCGCCTGAGAGCGCTGGCCCAGCATCCCAATGGGCAGATGATGTCAAAGCAGTCCCTCCCTGCCAAGCCCTGGCCTTTGGTCCAGTGTCCTGGCAGCCTGTGCTTTGACAGCCCAGTGTCCAGCTGCCACTGGGCCCCATGTCCATGAATTATCTACCCTATCCTCACCACCCCCAGCCTTGTCTTCCTGAGGATCGCCAGCCCTCTCTGACATCCTGGAAGGAGAGTTCCTATCTGCTTAGCACATCTCCACCCAGTAGTGTGTCTCAGTCCCCCTTTTATCCATGGGCTGAGTATTACTTTGGGAGTGTCCTCAGCCCTTTCCCAGAGGTCACTGCTAAGGCTCAAAATGTCCGGAGGGCATGGGAGGGCTCAGCCTCTCTTCATGCACTTCACTGTGTTCTGTTTCTGCAACTTAGAGTTGATGTGGAAGGCTGTCTTGCCCCCATCCCCCAGTTTTCTAGAGTGAGGTGGCTTTCTTCATCCCTGGCCCCTGATGTCCCTGCCTCTGAGCTCTCTCCCTTCCATTCCAGATTGGGGGCACCAACTTTGTGGCACCTCCAGCAGCAGCAGTGCCAGCTAACCTAGGAGCACCCATCAGCAGTGGCCTAAGTGACCTCTTTGACCTGACGAGTGGCGTGGGCACCCTGTCAGGATCATATGTAGCCCCCAAAGCAGTAAGTACCTCGCCTTCTCTCATGGCAGGAGCAGAGAGAAGCTCTAGAGACTGACATGTGGGCTCCTTAAATGGCCCATGCCATGGAATCACCTCAGGCCAGCGCTGATGAGGGCAGCTTGGGGATCTGAGAGCACAGAGGAAGAGGAGAAAAGGCAGCTTGGTGGGGCCTGGGAAGATTTTCCAGAGAAGGGCACATTGGAGCTCCAGCCTGCTGACAAGTCAGAATTAGCTGAGCAAAAGCAGGGAGAGAGGGCTGCAGGCAAGGGAATAAGGGAGCAGCCTGTGGCAAGGCCTGGAAGTGAAGGAGAGCCTGGCAGAGGTCCTGTCCAACTGGAGCAGTGGTTCTCAGTGCTGTCAGGCCCAGTGCCCCTCATTTCTTTTCTCTCTTTTTTTTTTTTAATGATACTGGTAAGGGGATCTTAATTTTGATTTGGTGTTGTCAGCACCACGCTCTCCCAAGTGAGCTAACTGGCCATCCCTATATAGGGATCCAAACCCGTGGCCTTGGTGTTATCAGCATCACACTCTCCCAAGTGAGCCAAGGGCCCTAAGTGCCCCTCATTTCTAATAAGCATTTTACAGTACCCCTTTCCTATCCTTAAATGAAATTGGTGGACTATATAACTTAACTACACATATAATTTCAAAAGTAATCAGATACTATCACTGCATAAAGGAGCTATAAAAAGGGAGAGAATACAAGTATACATTTCAATGTTGTAAACTGTTAGCACACCCACTGCCCCAGAAGCGACTACAAAGTTGTCAGGTGTATGTAGCAGTGCAGAGAGTTGCCGTGACTGTGACAGCTACAGATGGTGTTTGCAGCTTGGTCACCATGAATGGTGTGACCAGTGGTACCATTAGCTTCTTTTTTTTTTTTTTTTTTTAAAAAGATGACCGGTAAGGGGATCTTAACCCTTGGCTTGGTGTTGTCAGCACCACGCTCAGCCAGTGAGCAAACCGGCCATCCCTATATGGGATCCGAACCCGTGGCCTTGGTGTTATCAGCACCGCACTCTCCCGAGTGAGCCACAGGCCGGCCCCACCATTAGCTTCTGAAATGGCAACTGGCTCCCAGTAAAGTTCTGAACAAGGCAGAGAACAGGCCTCCCTTGACTTTCATGATAGTTAATGCTGTTCCTGGAAATTTCAGGGTAGATTAAACCGTATAGAAAATACTCAAAGGATATAGGACATTTGCTCATTGTGAGGACTATTGTCCTTATGGCACCGTTCCCCAGCACGCTGACTAAAGCCCACTAAATGTAGTGCCCCCACATTGTGCCACCCGAAGATGCCCCACAGATGCCCACTGTGCTCCCAAGTACAGTACCATCCCTGAGAGTCCTGGCTAGACTAGAGACTGACGAGAGAGGAAGCTGGTGGCATCGGCAGGGCTAGGCTGAGTGTGTGCTCTTGATTCTGGCACAGCGGGACCCATTAAAAGGTTTTAAACAGAGTGATGAGACAGTCTGATTTGCACTTGAGAAAGACAGCTCTGGCTCCAGGGAAGGCGAGGAGCAGGACAGAGCCCAAGAAGGGGACTGTGGCAGGAACAGCTGAGTGTCTCTTGGGGTGGAGACCAACACTGGACTGGAGTACTCCCTGGGTGGTAGGAGTGGTAGGATAGGGGGCTGGAGGTGGGGTGCTTCTGGCTTGAGACATGGGGTTAGAGGAGGTGCTGAGATGGGGACCTGGGAGGGGGCAGGGCTGAGGGAAGGAGAGCCAAGTTTGGGGGTGAGAACTTGGAGGCCTAGCACTAAGGAGATCACAGTGTGGGCCGCATTGTCAGCACCAAGGAAGCTGCCAGAGGGCACGGATCTGGCCTCATCCCCTCACAACACTCAGGTCAGAAGCCTTGTCTGCTGCTTTATTCCCAGTCAGAGCCCCTCTCTCATCTGGGGTCCCTTCCCCAGAGTAAGACATGGCTGGCTTCAGGGGCACGGTGTCATCTCCATCATGACTAGGGAACCATGAGCCAGCACCTCCCTTTCCCTGACCTAGCCTCATCCATAGTGTGCCAGCACCCCCTGCAGTGGTGGTGGTTGGAGCCCACTGGGTCTGAGCCCCAAGAAGCACAAAGCAGACAGTAGCTCTGATACTAGCAGCTGCACACACTTGTGCCAGGGGATGGCACAAGCCTTCCACAGCCATCATCCCACTGCATCCTCCCAGCAGCTTTATGGTGCTGTTATTCCCTTTCACAGTTGAAAAATTGGAGTGCTTTTGCATGAGGTCACATAGCTGATAAGTGACAGAGTCTGGAACTGAATGCAGGGCAGTGGCACAGAGCCTCTGCTCCAGGCCCCTGTGTGTTATGCCCCAAAGTGTTTGAGAGCCACCTGTGCACTTGCCTTAATGTCATGAGTTGTCAATCAACAGGACCAAGGAGAACATAGGATACATGGCGTGATGTAAAACATGTTCTGTTAACTAATTACTACACGGATTAGCCACACCAAAGCTTGAGGCTGACCCCTACCCGTTAAATACCTAAGATCACAGGCATAAGGCAGGGACTGAGTGAGAGAACAGCAAAGACTCCTGCAAGCCTTTTGCAGGCACTGCAGTGTTACCAGGAATATAAAGCCTGGAGCTGGCCCTGGGTAAGCTAGCCCTATGCTTGTGGGTCTGTTCTACCAGATGTTATCACTGCCTTGTCTTAGTGGAGGTCAGTGAGTTACCAACAGTGAGTGCTGGAAATGAGAGGTGAAGGGATCACCAAGTCAGGAGTCATCAGAGCAGGCTGCCTGGAGGAGGACAAGGCCTTGCAACATGGGCAGGACTTTCCCCACTAACTTAGTCACAGGAGGGGAGGGTTCTAGGATGTGGGTGCACTCTCCCTAGAGAAGCAGGAGGTAGGTTGTCTGCATTTTCCTAGCACACCGTAACGACCTATCAGTATCCCTTGTGCATTTTCCCACCTGCCTGTGGGGTACATACATTCTCCAGCACTCCTGGTCAAGAGCACAAGACTCTGTGTACAAGAACTTTGAGTTTCCCAAGCATTTGGGTCAGCCGGTGGTGACAGTGCATTGGTTCATCCAGTAAATGTTGAGGATTAGTTCTGTTAGGACCTGTGCTAGACTCCATGAACCCACAGTGACCAAGCGAGATGAGATCCCCACCCTCAGCCAACAGCAGTCAGGCATGGGCTGCACAGGCAACTGGGAGACGGCCAGTTCTGCAAGAATGGGAAAGGAGGCCTCACGGGAGATGGGGCGCAGGGGAATCATCCATGAAGGAGCCATGCCCAAGGTCAGGTTTAGCAGCCTTCTGAGTGCTTTCTACGTGCCAGGGCACAGCTGAAAACTAAAGCTGGGTGGTTTCTACCCTCACAGATTTGTTCAGGGGGTACAAGAGGTGCTCAGGGTTAAGCAGGTAGGGTGGGAGTGGGATGGGGAAATACTTTCCAAGCAGAGGGAACAGCAGGTGTGAGGTCCACAGGAGCACAGTAGGCCGAGCCCGTGGAAGGGGTGGGCACCATGCTGTGGAGGCCACTGTGGGACTGGGTTTTCCAGGGTGACGTGATCAGATCTGCATTTTACAAGATGACTCCAGCTGCTATGGAAAGTGGGGAGGGAGGGATTGGGGCAGCCACCTAGGCAGCTGCTGTCTCACCCGGGGAAATCTGATGGTGGTTCTGATGCTGGTGGTGCCTGTGGAGAAGGAGGGGAGTGGAGGCCCTAGAGGCAGGTGTAGAAGGTGGTGTTGGCAGGCCTTGGGCTGAATGACTACGGAGTGGGGGTCAGGAAGGGCGAGGGCTGGTGCCTGGTGGCTCTGCCATTCCTGGCTTACACTGGGTGCACTTGGGGAAGCTGTCAGGTGGGGCCTGAGCCTTATGACCTCGAGGGGCCTGTGAGCCGTCCAATGAGAATAACAGCCTGAGAGGCATTCGCGTGGCTGTAGGATGATGCCAGTGGGTGTCCTTCATAGGCAGGGCTATAATCCATGCTGTTTGCTCAGCAAATACTCCCTGAGCATCGGCTCCACACTGGGCCCTGAGCCAAGGATGCAAAGAGTAAAGCAGAGCCCTTCCCTCAAAGAGCTCACCGGGTGCAGAGCAGACAGACACACAGGCTCATGTTTATCCACCATGTCACTGGAGTGCACATATGGGGAAGGGCAGACTTCCCAGAAGAGGTAGCTCTTGAACTGAGACTCCAGTGACAAGGGCAAAGAAGCAGGTGAGGGTCTGCCAGGTGAGGGGGCTTCTTAGGTACTGTCCTTGGTCAGACCAGTTTCTAAATTTAAAGGTCACCCCTGCCTCCTGCAAGGAAGGACAGGCTGTGACAGCCAGGTTGGCCTTGGGCTCTGGCTGAGGCCCAGGATGCCATTCGGCACTGGACTGTGTCCTTGGCTCATCAGGAGGCTGGCAGTGCTTGCTTGGCTCTTCCCCTTCCTCAGCCTACTTCCTAAGTGTTTCCTTAATTGACCTCTGAAGATTCAGATCAGACCTTGAGCCCACCAAGTGCCTCCCCATCCCCAGTGCTCCACCATGCAGCTACGTTGGCCCGAAGTGGGCCGCACGGTCGCTCTCATTCCCATATACCTGGTCGTCCCCTAGTGGTAAAGGCAGGTGTGGTCAATCTGGGAGGCCTCTGTAGGAGAAAGAGAAAAAGAACCCTCAGGTGGGCTGTTGAGTTTTCATTGGGGGATGAGGCACACACCAGCCCCCTCCCCAACCTCTTCCCCTCCAGGTCTGGCTCCCAGCCATGAAGGCCAAGGGGCTGGAGATCTCGGGCACCTTCACGCGCCAGGTGGGCTCCATCTCCATGGACCTGCAGTTGACCAACAAGGCCCTGCAAGTCATGACTGACTTCGCCATCCAGTTCAACCGCAACAGGTGAGCTCCCCGAGGCTGATGTGCCAAGAGTCCACACTGGTGACCGCAGGGAGGGGCTGAGGCTGCGAGGGGCCTGGTTCCTCTTTTCTGGAGAGGGTGAATGTTCCCCACCAGCCCAAAATCAAAGCTCCCTAAAGCAGTGATTTTTTTCCTCCAATTACTTCTTTATGTGGACTCCAAAGTACGTGGTATGGAGGGGAGAATGTCTCCCCTTATTTTTGCCTGCCTCCACTGTCCAAAGGAATGTCTCACAGACAGAAATCCCCAGCTCCAAGCTAGGAGTCCACCTCTGGCAAGCATCCCACATGTCAGGAGGACCCATCCCCGTCCTCTCACAGACCTGAGTTGCTCCTGTCTTAGGGACCAGCTCTGAGAAGCCTGGTGGGGGTGGGCCTACCTGCCAGTCTCTGTGGTAAAGGATCAAACCACCAGACAGGGCCTCTGGGAGTGGTAGCTGCTCCAGGCGCCTCACCCCCACCGAGTCCTCTACACTGTGTGTCATTGGGGAAGGTCACCTGTCTGTCACCATCGTGGATTGGGCTATTCAGGCCAGGGCTCTCTGGGAAACCTAAGCAGCCCCTCCTGATGATCCTTCTTCCTGAGTGGCTCTAGTGATGAGCAAACTGAACCTCTAAGAAGTTGACTGAAGGGGCTGCTTCCTGAGGGAGAGCCTGTGGGCTGGTGGGTCCTGTTGGGCAGGCCAAGTGAGGCTGGGGGCAGCCCTGCCTCATACCTTCAGATGGCCCTAGAGGACACCGCAGTGCTCCACGCTCCCAGGGGTGGTCCCGCTGATTGCTCATAACACATTTACCGTGTTGAGCACTTTCTGGGTACCACTCCCTGGGCCCAGGGCTTTAGGAGTATTATCTCACTTGAACCACTAGACAGCCCAGTAAAGTCGATTTATGCCTTGTACTCCCTTTTAGGTGATGACACTTGGGCTCAGAGAGGGCTGGTTCCTTGCCCAAGGTCATGCTGCAGGCAGTGGTGGAGCTCCCAGGAAAGCCTGGAGTGCCAAGTCACCAAGCGGGCCTGGGTTTCTCCACATTGTTTCCCACTGGGTCCTAAGCAGGCCTGATTTTCATCATGGGCAGAGCACAGGCTGGGGTCAGGCAGCCTAAGCTCTGATTCTCAGCAGTGCCTTTCACCCCATAGGGTCTGGGCATGGGCCTGCCCCACCCTGAGACTGTGTCCTCGTCTGGAAGATGGGATCATGTATACCTGTCTCTGCTTTTATAAGGATAGGAATTGGTGTAATATCACACGCCCAGCCTGGGCATACTGAGCACCCAGTTCATGGTCCTAATCCATATGACTTACCTTCCAAGACCCTGTGCTGGGATGTCTTTCACACTGATGGGGATCCTCCTCATTTGCCAGTGTGCTGTTTTACAGAGAAGCAGGGCTTTCTGAATCTCCTCATGGCCATGGTGTGACCTGCCCAGTTCTGGCTCAGACGTCAAACCCGGCATCTCTCTTGGGATGGTCAGTCATAGTCAATCCCCCCCTGGGATTGGCAGCAGAGACTTGGACAGTCATAGAGCTTTTAAGTTAGAAGAAGCTCATAGTCCAGGCCCCTGGTATTAGGAGGAGCTCCTCGAGAGCAGGGCAGGGTGAGGCCTGCTTCCCTGGGCCGGTCCAGTGCCTAGCCCAGAGGAGAAAGAGGAACACAGATTGGCCTCAGGCATGCAGCCAGTCCTGGGCCTGCAGCTTGGGTGAGGCTCCGTGCCAACTGCTGCCCCAGCTCCGGAGCCCAAGGAGCTCACCTGTCCCATGTCAGCACCTCCTCCCCCTACCATCCTCGCGGGGGCTTCTCTCTCCCCAGCTTTGGCTTGGCCCCCGCCGCCCCCCTCCAGGTCCATGCACCACTCAGCCCCAACCAGACAGTGGAGATCTCCCTGCCTCTCAACACGGTGGGCTCGGTCATGAAGATGGAGCCTCTGAACAACCTCCAGGTGTGTTCTGGGCAGGGCCAAGCACCTCAGTCCTTATCCGTCCACCAGCCCCAGGGGAGGGACAGAGGGCTGTGTCTGTGGGGTTGCGCTCTTGGCCACAGGTTGGGGGTGGGATGGGGAACAAAGGGGCATGGTTACCAGGGAGGGTCATGTGAGAGAACCTGCTCAGCAACTGACTGGGGACCCCCTTGTGCCTAGGTGGCCGTGAAGAACAACATTGACGTCTTCTACTTCAGCACCTTGTACCCCCTACACATCCTCTTTGTGGAGGATGGGAAGATGGGTGAGTTGTGAGGAAGCCCCTGGGATGGGGCTGTGGCTCGGGTACCTGGCCACGGTGGTATCTTTACCAAGGAACAGATGGATTGGCTTGCCCCACGATGGAGTCCATGTGTCCCCACTCCTCCACAGAGCCCAGGTTGAGGGACACTCCTGTGGCCCCTAAGGCCTTTTCTGGCCTGCTCTGGCAAGGCAGGTGGGCTATGCCACACAGAGCTGTTTCACTTAGGCTCTCCTGCTCACCCGCTAGCCTTGTCCTACGGCTGCAGGGAGCCCGAGTCATGCCACATGCCTGATGTCATTGCCTCTGTGCCCTGATTGGAAGCCCTGAGAAGGCTGTCGGTCTGTGCTGCTCACATGCTGCCCCCGGCTGCGTGGAGCACATGGCCCACATCGTCTCTCACATGCTCACTACAGAAGCCCAGTGGGGCAGGTTGTGCCTAACAGGAAGGCTGCTCAGGGCCAAAGGAGGAAGGCACAGGTGCGGTGGGGAAGGGAGACCAGGCCCAGAGGTGGGAAGCCCAGGGTCATTCGGGAACAGCACTGGTGGCTTCCTTCACAGAGCTGAGGGTCTGCTGTGGAGGAGCTCGTGCCTGTCCTCAGCTTTCAGGTGGTACATTAAAGACCAGCCCCCCACCCCCACACACAAAAAAGACCAGCCCCATTTCCTGCCAAGTGCTGTTGAGAGGCCACAGGTTTATCAGGATCCCATCTCTTACCTTCAACCTGCTCACCCTCTAGACCGGCAGATGTTCCTGGCCACGTGGAAGGATATTCCCAATGAGAATGAAGCCCAGTTCCAGATCAGAGACTGCCCCCTCAATGCAGGTGAGGACCCCTGGGCCCCCGCCCTCAGCCCCCAGCTCTCACTACCCCTCACTGGTTTCCAGGCCCTCCCCTGTACTGACTGTGGGTCTTGCACTGGCCATCTGACCCCCAGAGGCCGTGAGCAGCAAGCTGCAGAGCAGCAACATCTTCACCATCGCCAAGAGGAACGTGGAGGGCCAGGATATGCTCTACCAGTCCCTGAAGCTGACCAACGGCATCTGGGTGCTGGCCGAGCTGCGCATCCAGCCAGGCAGCCCCAGCTTCACGGTGAGCGCCCTGCCCGCCCTGCAACCCTGGGCAGCCTCTGCCTTCCCACCCTCCCAGGCTAGGGGGTGGCTCTAATGGAGGACATTGTGCCAAGGGTCCCTTTGAGCCTGGAGTGAACGAGAATCAGTTTTGTCCCTGGAAGGGACTTTTCTAGAAAGCTTCAAACTCAATCCTGTCAAGTTACCCAGATAAGACACTAAATTAGGTCCCAGAACAGCGAGTTGGACTAGAAGAGTCTGTAAAATTAGGCCCTGTAGGTGGCACAGTTGTTTGGGCCCTCCCTGACAGGGAGGTGGCGTTGCTGAGCGCAGGCCCTGGTCCTGCTCTTGTGCGAGTGCCCGAGTGCCCTGCTGGGACTCCCAACAGCCCATGCCTCCCAGTCTTTGAGCCAGACCCCAGTGAGGAGATGGCTTTTGTGGGATGCAAGGTTGTTCCTCCAGCCCATGCCCCTTGCTTTGATTCTCCCTTCTCCCCTGCACCCCGAGTCTCTGGCAGGCATGGCCCTCCAGACTGCCTCTCCTGGGCCCCGCTGGCAGCACTGGCACTGAGGTTGGTTGGGGGCTGCGGCGGTGGCTGCGGTGGTGGTAATTTCCGTCTCCCTGTGTTTGGTTGCTGCATGTCCACCTTCCCTGCTGGTGCCCGTGGTACAGGACTTGGAGGTTAGCAGACTGCTTTTCTCTTCCTCTTCCCCTCCACCCTTCCAGCTGTATCTCGCACACCCCATCTCTTGGCCTGGCCCAGCACCAGTGCACCCCACCTCTCCTGTCATACTTCGTCTCCTGGTTTCACCTCACTCACGCTGGGCAGACTTGCAGGCAGGCTGCCGACACCCCGATGCTTTCCAACCAGGGGGCCCTATGGCGGAGTTGAGGCCCCCATTTCCACACACACTGTGCACAGAGCCCTTCGCGAGAGAGCCAGGGCAGCCCCGGGGGCCTCCCTGCTGACCTGCTGAGCTCCATGCCCCACTCCCTAATTGCACTCTTTAGAACCAGTGCTTTTGCATGGTAGGGTTGGGGGGGTGACTTCTCTCCCCCCTGCCTGTAACTTCAAGGCTCAAACCACAGTTTGAGCTCAGGTGAAGTCTCTGACGTGTCTGCGTCCTACACAGGAAACCAGGACTGGTCCTAGCACCCCTCGCCCTCTGTGTTCCCCCAAGGTTCCTGTCAGGCTTCAGTCCTGAGTACTCTAGAGCTTCAGGGGCTGTGGGGGCAGGAAGCCCTGCATGGTGGGGGCGGGCCCTCCTGGCAGCTTCGGTAGGTGACATACACTGCTTGCCAGCAGGGCTCTAGTAGCAGGGCTGACAGCAGGTGTGTGGGCTGCTGTATATTTGGTCCACACCTGGCTGGCTGCACGGCCACCCCCTCTTCTTTACCTCACATCTGCCCTGGCCACAGCTGCTATCAGGCCACCATGCTGTTTTTTCTGGTTCCCGCTGTCCCTGCCTTCCCCTTGCATTCCTTCCCAGAGAGGACCCCAGGGATGACCTATCTCTTCCCCTAACCCACTCTCCTGCAGCTATCCCTGAAGTGTCGAGCACCAGAGGTGTCCCAGTATGTGTACCAGGCCTATGAGACCCTCCTCAAGAACTGAAGTCCATCCAGCACCCGTCCAGCCTTCTGCCTGCCCCATCAAGGAGCCCCCGGGGGATGGCAGCTCATCCACCTCCTCCTCCTCCTCCTCCTCCTCACAGGAGGGTCTGGGTGGGGCTCATGGCCACCCAGGGGGCTCCCTGGTCCTGACTGCAGCGCCCAACTGGGTCCTTGGGGCAGGTGGAGTGCCCCTCATTGGGTGAAATCTCGTGCACTCCCATGCTCCAGGCCACCCCTCTTCTGTTGCTACTGAAATTTGGGGTCAGGTGAGGAGGGGACCAAAGGAAACAGAGCCAGAGTGGCAGCAGAAGCTGGAGAAGAGGCCTCGGGTACTTCTCTTCCTTTTCCCTGTGCCTGAAGGGTGGGTGTGGAGTTGTCCTTGGACTCCCAGTCCCAGCTGTCCTGTCCTTTAGTCTCTTGGGTTGGCGTTAGAGACCCACCTCACTGCCCACTTGGTGCAGGATGGGCCCTTCCAGCCTATTCTGGGTGTGCAGGGAGGGCCCCCTTGGTAGCAGAAGAGCTGCTCTGTCAGGGTCTGGGGCTCCAGGGACCATAGGTGCCAACAGGGGCAGAGCTGAGCAAGAGGAACCCAGACCTGTACCATCCGCCCCGCATCCGTCAGGCTGGCACTTGTGGGCCACAGCCCCCAGCACTGACTCATGCAATCGAGACCAGGAAAAAGCTCCCAGAGCCCCTGACTTGTGCTCCTGCTCCCCTGGTAGCTGCAGTGCTCCCCACTCCCCACTTCTGGCCCTGAGGACAGTCACTGCCGACGATACCTTCCTCAGCATCCCCTCAGTGAGCCGGGCTCCTGGAGCAGAGACAGGGTGGAGCGCTGGGGCTGCGGGCAAGTGGGCGTGCTTCCTCTTTGGGGTTTCTTTGGGGTTTTTCTTTAGTGTCCACTACCCTCTTCCCGGCCTCCTGGGTTTCAGTTGCATTTGACAGAGCATTAGGTTTTCCTGTTACTGCTGTTTAATAATAAAGATTCTGCTTTTGGCAATCATGGGCACTTTTTTCCCCCTCCAGCGAATGTCAGAATTGAAAACTGCCTCTGCGTGGTCGGGTATGGTTTTCTGACCCCTGCAGAGACTATATCTAATATATATAAATAGAAAATATATATATTGTATGTTTACTCTTATTTTCAAAAAGAGAAAATGAATAAAAATGATGACATCAATTGTGTCCCTGGCCAGTGTGTCAGGTCCTGAGGCTCTTCTGGGTTGGGATCCTGGGCTGTGGAGATCCCAGGGTCAAGGGCTTGAGCTGTGTGCCTGGTGCAGCCTCTCTCCTGGCACTCTGAAGGCAGCACGTTCCCTCCGTCCTGTCCTTAGAAAACTGATTTCTGGGGTCTGCTCCCTTCCCTGGCACTCTCCCACTGTTGATCCTACCCCTCCCCAGCTGGCGCTTCTTGCTTTTTGATGCTGGCCAGGAGGCTGGCCTTCCCATTCTGGTTTTCCCCACTCCCTGCCATCTGGGAGGCTTCTGGGAGTGGCAGCAGATGCTCTGATAGGGAGGCACTAGCGTAGGAGAGGGGATAGCGGGCAGTTGGGCCAGCTGCCACCGAGGACACCCCATGTGGCCCCTGGTCTGGCTCCCAGGGGAGGGCCCCATCAGCACAGCTGCCCCCACTTCTGTCTGCACTTAGGCACCCAAACCCTGCCCACCTCAGGCACACTGCTGCCTTCAGAGCTGTTGGAAGCTGCATTGGCAGGGGCACCTAGCCCTCCACTGCCTCACCTCTGACTCCTGGGGTGTGGCTGCACTGCACCATGAGTCTAGAACCAACCTAGGCTCTTGACTGCAAAACCCAAGTTCACCTGAAGGTCTGGGCTCAAAGGCAGCAGGAGTCGCTGCCCTGCCATGGAACTAGAGTAGGGCGATGAGCCTTTTTTTTTTTAAAAAAAAAGATGACCGGTAAGGGGATTTAACCCTTGGCTTGGTGTTGTCAGCACCATGCTCAGGCAGCGAGCCAACTGGCCATCCCTATATGGGATCCGAACCCGGGGCCTTGGTGTTATCAGCACCACACTCTCCCGAGTGAGCCACGGGCCGGCCCTAAGTAATGTTTGTGCCCCCAAATTTGAAGTCTTTTTTTTTTTTTTTCCTTTTTGTCTTTTTCCGTGTCCGGCAACGGATCGCAACCCTCAGTGTCGCCCCCGTACTGGACCGGGACCAGCAACGGGATCACAACCCTCGGTGTTGCTCCCGCGCCTTGCTCAGCCAGTGAGCGGGAACCGGTCTGTATGTGGGATCCGAACCCTCGGGCGGGAGCGCTGCCGCGCTTCCCAAGCGGCGCACTATAGCAGTGCGCCACCGGGCCGGCCCAGGCGATGAGCCTTTGATGAGAGACTGTCACCCTGGCCTGACGTGTGGCCTGCCTCCCTGACCCAGACACCCTGAGTGCACTGCCTGGGAAGCAGCTGCAGGGGTCACCCCCACCTCCCAACCTGTCAGCTCAGTCATCCAGGGACCTCAAAACCTTGTGTCCCCACCCTCCACCACAGGCCAGAAGAGCCCAAGTGTAGGATAGCTGTCACCACTGGAGTGAGGATGGGCACCTGGAGGCCCAGGACAAACCACCTGGCATGAGGAGAGCTGGTGAGAAAGGTAGGCTGGCCTGTTCGGACAGAGGGCCTTGGACATTCATCAGACACTTGGGTTGACCCTTCTAATTCAAGCTGTGCTTACTCCTCTGTGGGCAGGACCTTACCATGATTTTGTCCCTCTTCAACCTACACAGCACCCAGCATGATGAGAACCAGCGTACACTGCAGAGACTATATACAAGGGGGAAATTGAGGCAGAAAGGGCCTCACACTTGCTGTTTTCTACATCACCGCATCAGGAAAACATACCCAGGACCGACCTGTGGGGCCCAAGCCTTCAGGAAAAGGGTTTAGGGGATATCCAATCTGTTCCCAACGCTGTGCCCTTCAGCTTCCCTGTCCGCCCTCCCTCTCACGTGTCACTCCCTGGTCCTGATGTGGCCCAGCCAGTCAGGAAATTCAACAACAGCAACCAGTTATTTCTTGAGAGTCCAACAAACACCCTGCATGCCAGACACTCTAAGCCCTGTGGCATGACCTCGTTTTACATTTTTAATCTTCAACTAGTGGTTTGTGTTTGTTTTTATGGAGAGTGGTAAGCTTAGCCATACAACGAGTAAATTTCTCCCTCTTGTCCCTTCCTTGGTCCTTTGTTTTCCTCCCTAGAGGCAAACATTTTTGCTAGATTATGGTTTTCTTCCAGGGATATTCTATGCATGTGTATAAGCAAAACCATGTAGATATTTACTAAACAAGTAGTAGCACCTAGACACTGCCAGTACATTGCTTCTCTTACCTGCCAGTAATTTCTGGAGCTCTTTCCCTACCAGTACAAATAGACCCCTTCAGTATTCCTTGGATGAATGGGCCACCATCAGGCAGTCCCTGCTGATGGACGGACGTTCAGGCTGTTTCCATCTTCTGTGAGTCTTAGCAGTGCTGCAGTGAATTCCCTTGCTCATGGGCACAAATATTGCCATAGGATCTAGCTCCAGAATTGCTGGACCAAAGTGTATAAAAAATTTACATTTAAAATTTTAGTTCTTGTTTTGAAAAGGTAATACTTTCATATGGTGCAAAATGCAAAAGACAGAAGTGAAAATCCTGTTTCTTCTCATTCCTCTCCCCAAGAGAAATCAATGGTACCTTCCAAAGAGATTCAGCGGTGTCTCAAATGGTTTTTCCCTTCTTATGCATAAAGAGTAGCACTGAATACACACTGTTCTTCACTGTACTTATATCTCAGGGGTTTTTCCATTACCAGTTCATTAGAGAGTGACCTCATGCCTTTTTTTTTTTAACAGCTCTGTGGTACTCCATTTCATGGAGGAACCATCATTTCAAGGAGGAACCACCTTTTCCCCAGATGGTTACCCAGTTGTCTCCACACCATTTATTAAATAATTCATTTTTTCCCCACAGATTTGAAATGCATTTTTATCATATAACATAAATTTCCACATGTATCTGGGTGTTTTTCTGGTAGTTGTTCTGTGCTAGAGAATTTGTCTATTCATTGGCTGTCACCTTTTTTAAAAAGTACCTTGGAGGGGCCGGCCCGTGGCTCACTTGGGAGAGTGTGGTGTTGATAACACCAAGGCCACAGGTTCGGATCCCTATATAGGGATGGCCGGTTAGCTCACTTGGGAGAGCGCGGTGCTGACACCAAGTCAAAGGTTAAGATCACCTTATCGGTCATCTTTAAAAAAAAAAAAAAGGGATCTTGGGCTGGACATTTAGCTCAGTTGGTTAGGACGCAACCTTATGACACCAATGTCACGGGTTCAGATCCCCCTACTGACTCAGCCACCAAAAAACAAAATTAAAAAGTACCTTTATGTTTTGATAACTTATAGTCCCCAGTGAGGTACATTAGTTGTTCCCAAGGTGTCGTATCTTTGTGTATCGCTTTCACATGCAGACAGGTTCCTAAGATGGGAATTGCTGGGTCAAAAGTAGGTCCATTTGGGCCGGCCCGGTGGCGCACTGGATAGTGCGCCGCTTGGGAAGCGCAGTGGCGCTCCTGCCCGAGGGTTCGGATCCCACATACAGACCGGTTCCCGCTCACTGGCTGAGCGAGGCGCGGGAGCAACACCGAGGGTTGCGATCCCGTTGCCGGTCCCCGGTCCGGTACGGGGGCAACACTGAGGGTTGCGATCCGTTGCCGGACACGGAAAAAGACAAAAAGACAAAAAAAAAAAAAAAAAAAAAAAAAAAAAAAAAAAAAAA